TGGTCCGGAGGCGTAATTGGTCCGTTTGTTTTCGAGGATCATGCGGCGGACGCTGTTACGGTTAATATCGTTCGCTATCGAAACATGATAACAGAGTTTTTCTGGGAACAGTTGGAAGACATGGACATCGAAGATCTCTGGTTTCAATAGGACGGCGGCACCTGTCGCACATCAGGAGAAACGATACAATCACTTTGCGGCAAGTTTTCAAGTCGCGTTATTTCAGGTAACGGCGATATCAATTGGCCGCCGCGATCCTGTGATTCAACTCCCTTAGATTATTTTCTTTGGGGGTATCTCGCTGGGGTCTCTGGACCTAGAACTAGGCTATCTCTGCCTCTCGGTGAGTACACCACCATTTTCCAGGCGGAAATCTTTGCGATTCTGGCTTGTGTATCTCACATTCTGGAGGAGGGTGGGCCTAGGAGAAGAATAACAATCTTATCCGACAGCCAGGCTGCAATGAAAGCACTAAGTGCATGTAAGATTACTTCGAGTCTTGTATTGCAATGCAGGGAGGCTCTGGATTGCCTCGCAGCGAGGCATCCGGTATCGTTAATATGGGTACCGGGGCACGCTGGGATAAGGGGCAATGAGACGGCGGACACTCTGGCGAAAACAGGATCAGCCAGCAAGCTCGTTGGTCCTGAGCCAGCTCTAGGAGTAACCGCGCATAAAGCTAGGAGGAAAATGGAGACGTGGGTTGCAAGACAACACTCTCAGAAATGGAGAAGTATCTCTAGACATCTCCGCCAGGCACGAGAGCTCAGTGAAGGGCCCAGTGCTAAGGATGGACGCTTCTGCCTATCTCTGGGTAGAGCCAACCTAAGGTTGCTGGTGGGACTGTTGTCTGGCCATAACACGTTAAGGCGGCACCTGCACGTGATGGGGGTGGCTGAGGATCCCTTATGCGAACGCTGCGGAGTAGAGGAAGAGACCTCGGCGCACGTTTTGTGTCGCTGTGAAGCTCTGAGCTACTATAGGCAGACTATACTGGGGTCCATTACTTTGGACCCTCAGGACGTAAAGGAGCTTGGACTCAAGGCGATTCTCAACTTCGCTAAAAGGGCGAGGCTTGTGATTTAAGTATTGTAGAGGTGCATAAGGGCCCGCTTAAGCGGCCTATGCACTGGCTCCTTATGGTGGCCGGATGCCTCTAAAATTCAAGATTCATTCATTCATTCATTGGGGGTATCTCAAGAGCAAAGTCTACAAGAATAACACAATAGCGGAGCTGAAACAGGAGATCAGACACGAAATTACCAACATGAGACCTGATTTGTGACACTGAGTAGTCGAAAATTTCTCGAAACGGATTACTTCATGCCACATGAGCGGCGGTCATTTACTTGATATAATCTTTCATGCATAATTGTAATGAACTACCCTGAAAGGGCAAATGTGAATTTCTTTATAATTTTCAATTTTGTTATGGTTAATTTGGATCATTATGTTAATTTTGATTCCATCGGTGAAAGTGAATGTATCATGATTATATTGAAGTTTATTTCTTACAAAAACTATCACCCCATCGTTTTGTTATAAGTGCCAAAGTTATACAGCGTGTCATATCCCTGCTGATTGAAGCAAGAAATATCAACCACTTGCCACGTTTCAGTTAAAACTATTAGATCAAAATTGTACCATATTTGGTCGAGTAGTATTTTTAAGTAGTCAATGTTATGTTTTATACTCATTATATTCATATTAAAAATTCGAAATTTTGCATCAGAATTTTGTGCACATAAATTAAGTTCATCGACGTTTTGTGCTATATTTGTTGCAATACTTGGAATTTGGAAATCATTAATGTATTTATTTACTGATACTTTAGGTCCTCTTTAGAGATAGGAGTATTAAAAGATGAACTTGAATTTTGAAAAAGTATCCTTAAGTTTTGTTGTTCCTGATAATATTTGAAAGATGGACAGTTTTTATCGGTAGGTGAGTGGTTGATATTATAATTTTTTTTATATCTTTCATTTCCATATCTACAGTTGCAGCATTTTATTGATGCATGCTAACAATTTTCTCCTTCGTGACCGTTGCCACAGTTGGCACATATCTTCTCATTCCGGCAATTCTTTTCTGTATGATTAAAACGGTAGCATTTTCTACACTGAGAAATGTCGTTATTTTGATATACGGTCAAACATTGCCACCCCAGAAGTATTCTTCTGTTATTGTCTTCGAAGATTTTTTTGAATAGCTTTCCAGAAGTTTCCACGTAGATAGTGTAATTGCTTCTTGATGAAAAATATTTTATAAACTTTACTTGTATGTCTTTACTCTGAATCATATAATTCTGATGTATAAGATCTTCTTCAATTTGCTTTTCATTTGGTTTCTCATTACTTTTATAATTTATTATTTTAATTTTTGGATTTAACATTTTCGGCTCAGTAACATGGTATTTTTCATTCAATTTATTTTGCAGTTCATCTTTCAGTTTATTATGATATGATTCATCAATTTTTATATTAATTCCGCCATTTTTTGAGTTTCTCACATTTTCTATCTGAATGTTCAGAGATGAAAGATTTATTTATTATTTTACTCAATTCTCTTCTCGTATTATCGCAAGATTGTTTTTCTTTTGGAATAACTGTGATGCATTTCAGCGATTGCCTTTTAGTAATAGGTATCGTTTGTGTTAAGATTTGTGCGTATGACTTTTCTTTTACTAACTGGTTTTTCTCAACTTCGTCGAGTCTCATGTTAATTCTATCTAATGCTGATGCATCCTTCTCAGTAATAGTTGCGGTTACGGACAGCTGCTGCTCTTTTAGTTTTAAATTTTCGATATTGAGCTGACGAATTATTTCCTCCTTTTCTGCTAGTGCTTTCCTCAGGGATCGATTCTCTTCTAATATCTTTTTTACATTAGTCGAATCAAGTCGATTTTCTTCATCTGTGATGCAGTTTTTTTCATTCTCGGGCTTTTCTTGTTGTTCTTCTTCTTCCTTCTTCTTTTTGCGGGTCGTGACACTCTGTATAGTTATTTCTTATATAGTATGAATCAGGAAGAACAAACTGTCAACTTGACAATTTTACGTCACTCCGAGGTTATATAAATATGGCCGAAAACGACTGAAAATTGTAAAATTCGTTGCACCAATGCATCCAGACCCATATTTTATCCTTATAAATGGAAACTCTTCGCCAAAAGGTTATTTCATGGACTGTGTACCAACCAAATTCTTGACCGTTGTTTTTTGAACCACCCTGTATACAATTTTCTATGTCTAACCATTAAACGGAATGCTCTGAAGAAAATTTCAAGATACGCGATTCATAATATTTTATGCAAAAATATATACCTTAATCAAAAATGTAATAAATGTTTCAAAAATGTTAATGTTACAAATATACTTTTTGTTTCCTTCACTAGTGTCCAAAATATGCCAGTTTCTACGTCACTGGTATAGTCTGTATCTGCTATGATGTTCCTACTACATGTACGTGGTTACAGTTCTATATATTTATCCACTCCTGACATATATTTTGATCGATTGCGAAATTATAACTTCAACGCCCTGTGTCAGTAAAGGGGATTTGAGGGCCCAATTTTGTAAAACGGCTTTATGAGCTTACTTAGTACTCTAAAAATATTATTTCATTGGATCAGCCTGTATAACCAGGTTGGATCCCCCTTCCACCACTCCAAACAACAATTGCTCTGCTCATAAACTGACTCAATAACGCTCATTTCATACTTTTAATTTTCCGATACATTAAGGATTATATGATTTCCACTCGAAGGGAATTCAACAGCAGAATGGGGATGATGGTAACAACAAGCGACAGACAGTTGAAAGCTGAATACGTCCATTTCAATATAGAGCAGAAATGATGTGCATCGACACAGTATAAGCCGATACTCACAATAGAAGTTCGAGTTTCCGTGATAGTCCAAGACGACTATGCAATAGAAGAAATAATCAGAGGAAAACGGTGATCTCCAGTTATTGGGTGTCAACAGATACATTCAAAGTTTTGTCGCCGTTTACAGCAATTTCTGAAACATTTACCTATCCCAAGCTTGATTCATGATGCTGTATTGATACATTTTTCTATGAAGAACGAAATTTACTATTTGGTTTCTAAGATAAACCAAATAACATTCCAAAGGGCTCTTATGAGAAGCACCATTTCTCTTGTATTATTTCAATTTGATAGAAACAATTTTATAGAGAAGTTTTGAAAAAGTAAATGAATCAGACGGCATTAAAACTTTATCTCAAAAGTTGAAGAACATCCAGAAGTTTTTTAAATTTAGGTTGGGATGGTAATAAATCTGCGGTTTTCGATGTATTAGTGTTTCAAGCAAAAAATGATAAAAATGCTTAAAAACTGACCACACTAAAGCTTAAATGCTTCAGTACGTCTTCAGGTTTTGAATAAACTCATGGGTGACGAGTCTTACGGGTTTCAAAGTAGTATTTAGATGCCCTGAGTATTTTATTTTCATGTCGAGCGTCAGCTGTCAGTATTTCACATTTTCTTGTTCAGAGGGACTTTACATTGTTCTCTACACAGTGCTCATTTTAACCAATACAAATTATAAATTATAAATGAGTTCCACAATTAAAGGTAGAAGTATGGTTTAACGTGCGGCACTGATCTGAGTGTTATCATGGAAAATACATACTATAGATGCCAGGTAGGTCTAACCATCCTGCATCTAAGAAACTTGGGGAGAAAGTAGAACGTCGAACGGCATGAGCTAGAGAGTATAAGAGTCTCTCTACGTCGATTTGCGAATTATTGGTAGGTGGTGGCCATCAGATTTTTGACCTACCTGCGCATAATGCCTTGAGTTGTTATAACCACTTGGTTGATTTCCTTTTCGCTTCTCTCCAATATTAAACTTAAGACCTATACCGTACTGATGAGCTGCTAGTGATCACGAAGCAGCGCTGCCTGCGGTTGGTCATGGTAACAGGAGACGGAAAGCAAACATATCAACTGCATAGTAGAGAGTAGAAAGTACGACTTACCTCCCAGTTGCAACTCAGCTGCTGCTTGAGCCGTATCACCTTCAACCCTTCTCACAATGCACTGATACATGCCCCTGTCTTCTCTTCCAACGTTGTTCACCACCAAAGTCTCACTGGAACCACGTCCCGTACTTGGTAGCTGTCTGCCATCTTTGAACCATGTTACTAGATGCGGTCCCCCTGTTTGTGCAGACACTACACACCTGCAGATGAAAAAATACGCATAGTTAAAACTCACTTTTAATTATACCACCAGGGCGACAGCATGTCAAAAATCAGGTCATATCAACGCCAAATTGAGTCCCATGCGTTTGGTAGGATTTCCGTTACTGCGACACTAAAGCCGTGTTCGTACAACGCCTCACAAATTTCGTTCTGCTACGCTATATAGGCGAAATTTACACGGCCAGATCCCGGGCACAGTCATCAACAAGTCACCGACCACTGTACGAACAAATCTGTATTCGATTTACTTATTGCTACTGTTGTTGGTGGTAATATTGGATATAAGATGCTCTCCAAAAATGATCTTGCATAAAAGCATGTGAGTGGATGATTCGTTTCTTGATTCTTCAGTATGACATTCGAGACGTCAGACTAATGAAGCGTAGTCACCCCTGGGAAAGATCCGTCTGGACGCCCATGGAATTTGGTAGGGGAGGCGTCAAGCAGTTGGGGACACGATTATCAAAGCGACCGACATCATTATAACCTGTGATTATACCCTATAAGGCGAATTGAAAAATTAGTGACAGTAGTTTCAGAGGCAGATAATAAAAATACAAATACATTGAACAAGGATAAAAAGTAAGTTGTCTTTGGAATACATTATTGCCAAGATGAAGAGGGTTGAAATTGTGTATACGAAACCGAGGAACAACGTGGAACATTCAAAAATCTTTTAGTAAAATCAACAATCTAAGAAAAGCTATCTCGGGATTGAAATCGAATAAAAATCCAAGTGAGAATCTCAAAAACTACGAGTATTCTAAATTATTGTTTCAATATAATCGGAGAGAAATTATTATTATTCGTGAAACATTGTTTAGTACATGGGTAATTCTCATCAAAATTAAAGTATTACACAATTACTCCTGTGACAAAATTTGAAAATTCTCAGCTGTATACAAGTATGCGACCGATTAATGTATTGGCAGATGTCGAGAATAATTGAATTCATTGGAGAAACCAACATTTTGACAAAAAATCAAAGCTGGACTGGAAAAAAAAGTTCTACAGAAACAGCAATCGAAATCATGGTGGAAGACTGGAGAAGTATAGATGAAAAAGAATGTATTGTAACAGCATTTTTGGACTTCAAAAGGGCATTTGAGACTATACATAGGGAAAAATTGTTAATCAAATTGCATCACTATGGCTTTAAAGGATCAGTATTAAACGTTTTACAAAATTATTTAGTAAATAGAAGTAAAAAAATACTAAAGTTGGAAATATTATGTCAAGCGTTCAAAGTATATCAGTAGGGGTGCCACAGGGGAGTAAATTAGGGCGGTTACTATTTATTATTTATACAAATGATATCTCTAGCATTTTAGAACACTACAAAATTCAAGTACTTGCGGACGATACATTGATATATATATATATATATATATATATATATATATATATATATATATATAAATATATATATATAGCACATAAGCATTTGGACACTACTTTAGAACTGTTAAAAACTGAAAATTATGGATTGGTTAAATGTCAACAAATAAAAAATTAAACCTGTATGTCAATAGGGAAACATTTATCTGACAATACAATCAGGCTCATGATTAATGATGAAAAAATTGAAGTAGTCGAATCATTTAAATATCTCGGTATATATGTAAACTGCTGTTTCACGAGCGTTATGAATCCATTATTTCAAAAATATGAGAAAAATAAATTACTTCTATAAAGTTTCCCATAATAGTATGTGTTGAAAAAAATCAACCATCTTGCTTACAGCAAATGAAAATATATTTTCAAAATTACAAATTCTACAAAATAAAGCTATGAGAATCATTTTAAATAAAAACAAATATACTAGGATTAAGGCTTAGAGAAACTACAGTGGTTGAATGTTAAACATTTCATATATTATTTAGTTCTCGTTTTCATATCTAAATTTAAAGATCATTTATTACCATCACAAACTTACATAATCATTATCATAACTACGAAACTAGAGGCAGTATAGATTTGCATCTGCAAAATTGTAATAGTAGCATAACTAGTAAATATATACAGGGTTACAGGAAAAGTCGTGCTAGATCCGTTAAGGGCGTGTAGTACCCATCATTTCTGACTTATTTCATTATGAAACACCCTACCCTAAACTTAACCCTTTTCGAGATATTCAACTTTTAATGTTTTTATTGAAAATTGCCGATTTTTAGGCTACTAAATGTATTTATTTTTATTTTGTGTGTGTTATTATTACTATTATTGCATTTTAACATGTGTAATAAGATGCTTTAGGACGTCAATCATTAAAATAGTCCATAAGTTAATTGAATAGGCCGTAGTAGATAAGTGAATGTTAAGAAATTGAAAAAAATATCAGAAAGTTTATTTTTCTCGAAGGGATATCTAAAAAAAATATTATGGCAATTGTTCGGCAGATGTGTTTGTATTACATTTCGTAGAAAAAAAGTAGTTGGGACGCTCCAGTAGCAGTTCCCACGCCTATTCTCCTTCAAGTTTAGACGCACCGTGCGAGCGAGACATGACGATTTAATGTGGGTGCGAATGAAAGAAAACATATTATAATAACCGGTTAGGGCTGGAAATCCAACACGGGATGTTGTTTTGGTTGTCAGTCTGCTTTTGTGCTTCGTACATAGTAGATGTGATATCGTTTTGCTCTTTTCCTCGACTTGGCTACGATTCTGGACTATTTCTTCTGATTTGTGAATACTGTGCTTGTTCACTGGACTCTGATTTGTACTTGTGATACGGAAGTGTTGAAGATGACGTCCTACACACCTGAGGAATATGCTGATATGCTTATTTGTTACGGATACTGCGATTGTGTATCTGCGCAAGCTCGCAACGAATACAGAACTCGCTTCCCCGGTCGTCGAGTGCCGGATGTGGCCGTTTTTAACAGAGTTTATCTAAGAATTCGAGAAACTGGCTCTGTTTTGAGACGAAATACAGACCTGGGAAGACCACGAATTTATGACAACGAAGAACTGCAGGACAATGAGATAGTGCAACGCTTTCGAGCGGATCCGACCATTTCCACTAATCGTGTTGCCCGTGATCTGGGACTTTCGCAATGGAGAGTGTGGTTTACAGTGCATACTGCTGGCCTATACCCGTACCATTACACGCCGGTACACACTATTGAAGAAGGAGACCCCGCGAGAAGGTTGGACTTCAGCAGATTTATGCTAAATGCTGACGTAGAAGACCCAGATTTTCTAAGAAATATCTTATGGACAGATGAATCCAAATTTGATAACGATGGCTTAACTAACTATCACAACGCCCATTACTGGGCCCGAAAAGTACTAAGGAATCCCAATAAGAAAAGAGTGGCGAGGTCCCAACGAAGATTCAGCGTGAATGTGTGGATGGGCATTATCTCCAACCATTTGATTGGACCTGACTTTCTCCCGGACAATCTAAATGGGGAAAATTACGAAAACTTCTTGAGAGGAGACTTCAGAGATTTGCTGGATGATCTGCCACTCAACTTGAGAAGGGACATGTGGTTCCAACATGATGGCTGCCCTGCCCATTTCAGGAGAAGTGTCAGAGACTGGCTGGACACAAATTATCCAAACAAATGGATAGGACGAGGTGGGCCGTTGCCATGGCCAGCAAGAAGTCCGGACCTAACCCCCATGGATTTTCATGTGTGGGGGTGCATGAAAAGTCTTGTCTACAGCGAGCCAAATCCAGTTTCGTCTGTGGAAGAATTAAGAGAAAGGATTGTCGATGCAGCAAATCAACTAAGGACAACGTTGACCACTGCAGTTGTAAAGACTGGTCTCCGTAGAAGGATGCGACAATGTATTAGAAACAGAGGCAGCCATGTTGAACATGAACTGTAGAGTAAGAAAAAGTTGTGTGAAAACCTGATTTAATAAATGATATTTCATGCTTACCTATTGTTTTATTTTACTTTTTAGGGCTAAGTATCAATTTTCTTCTCCACTGTCGCCTATGAAACTAAGTTTTTTCAATGCATTTAAATAAAATCCTAGATTGTTATACCTCGTTAGATAGCTGATAAAACATAGATATTTTAAAACACATCTGCCGAACAATTGCCATAATATTTTTTTTAGATATCCCTTAGAGAAAAATAAACTTTCTGATATTTTTTTCAATTTCTTAACATTCACTTATCTACTACAGCCTATTCAATTAACTTATGGACTATTTTAATGATTGACGCCCTAAAGCATCTTATTACACATGTTAAAATGCAATAATAGTAATAATAACACACACAAAATAAAAATAAATACATTTAGTAGCCTAAAAATCGGCAATTTTCAATAAAAACATTAAAAGTTGAATATCTCGAAAAGGGTTAAGTTTAGGGTAGGGTGTTTCATAATGAAATAAGTCAGAAATGATGGGTACTACATGCCCTTAACGGATCTAGCACGACTTTTCCTGTAACCCTGTATTTCAGGAGGGAGTAATTGAATTTAGTAAATTGAATAATGTTATTAAACAGAGTTCGAATTTAAAAATGTTTAAGGTGAAATTAAAAAATCACTTCATGAACAATTAAATTTTAATAGACAAGAATGTCAAATTACAAAAAATGGATTGAGAAAAAATATGTAACCGAATCATTATACAAAATTGACTTTGTAGCATTAATGCTAAATAAATCTTCAACAAACAAACAAGCAAAACGATAAGTAGTTATTATAACATTGTAGAAACATTAGTTTCATGCGCTTAATGTAAAATATATTTATACCTGAATTCTGCACTTCCTCCCATATGTACACTCAATAGCGGTGGTGATATTTCTACATGTAGAGGTGTTGATACCGCCAGTCGCATTTCCGCACTTGTTTCTCCGCCAGCGTTAGATGCTGAACATCGATACACACCACCTGGAAAATACACATTCCAATGAGTAAATTAGATATACAGAGCTATTTTGAATACGCAAGCGCCAATTAAAAAGTCAGTATAGTTGCCGCTCCTTCATATGTTCCTTTTAGTTTAAGATATTCGTTTTGACATAGGTTTTTGGTATCAACAAAATCGAGAAAATAAAATATATCCATTAAGCAAGTTGCGATTAAAAACTATGTTTTTGGTACGCAAAAAATATTGTCAATTTGAAGTTGTACATTGTTGTCATGATGTTACAAGCAATGACAAAGCAAAATCATACAACATCTTAGACTATGTCATTTCCAAAACGAAAAAAGTTGAAATAGGAAATGCACAAGATTTTGTCGCATGGTGAAGCAGTGTTTCGATCTTTCCTTATCAAATTTCACCTTATTTGCCTTTTCAATAGAGGGAGTCGATAACCACGTTCTACAGGGTGTTTTCAAAGTTCAGTCATTCATTTTAACTGCTCGACAAAACGAGTTGATATCCCAAAAACCGCCTATATAGTCAGAATCACGAAAGATGACTATTACGTCATACCATACATTGTACTGAAATGGACGTACGTCGATGATAGAATCACGATGTCAGGAATAATTACAACAAATTTATAATATGATTTGGGAAGTTACATTATTTCACTGATTATTTATATTTTCATTTTATTCAATGGTTTTGAGTAATAATAACCTTAGAACCGTGTTTTTGTTTTGGAAAAAACAGTTATGATTAGAATACCTCAACACAGAACCACCAAAGACCAAAGTATTATTAGAAAATAACCTAACCTACTTTAACATAACCTAACTGTTTATCTTTCAAATCTATCTTTGTCGTATACATGCATATTAGCAATATAGTTTGTTTAGACAATAAAATTCTGTTTGTCTGGCATATCTGAAACTTCATTAAAAATATTCACAAATCGCTGTCGCTTGTCTTTACTACGGACTAAAATGATGACGCAATCGTCATCTTTCGTGATTTCGACTTTATATAAATGTTGCATAATAAAGAAAAATAGTAAAAGATTAAACATTTAAAAAAATAATAATTGTATTGCACAGATTTTTTGATATTCTCGACCACTGCCATGTAAAATTTTAGCGTAGTTTGTTTACTACTCTTATTGTTTATCTAAATTTGGCAAACTTTTTGTGCTGTTGTATGGTTTTCAGTACGAGTCTTTGGTTTGATAAGTTGTATCAGTCGTTTAATGGAGCGTATACTTTCATTTATCAGATTATTTTGCGCGAAAAAATGGCCCATGTTTACCAAAACAATGAATTAGTGGACGTAATACTAACATACGGAGAGTGCCAACAAAATGCAGCCACAGCATGCAGATTGTATGCGAGAAGGTCTCCTTTAAGAAATCATACGGCCCCACGAATGTTTGTAAATTTAGTTATCAGACTTCGTGATACAAGATATTTAAAAGAACAACGAGAGGTCACGCTGGAAGATCTGCTCAACCTGAAATGTTACAAATTGAGTCAGACATTTTAGGAATGAACGAGGATGACCAAACAATGAGTACTAGATCCATAGCAGCTCAAGCTGAAGTTCATTATCAAAGGGTACAAGCGATACAACCTTAAGGTCATCTTTGAAGAGTTGCAATTTGCCAGTTGCTCTTAGAACAGTTCGACAGAAATGAAAAATTCACGAAATTAATTTTGTGTACAGACAAGGCCACATTTACACGAAATGGAGTGCCCAATTTCCACAACAATGATGTTTGGCCAGTATAAAATTGGCATGCTGTAAAAAGATTTCATTTTCAACATAGATTTTCATTAAATGTTTGGGCTGGAGTGATAAATGGCATTCTTATCGGACCCTACTTGTTTCCACCTCGTCTGATTTAGATTTTCTTGGACACAATGTGCCACACTTATTAGAAGATTTTCCTCCAAATGTGAGACAGGATGTGTGATTCCTACATGATGGGGCTTTACCACATACCAATAATGAGTTTTCGAATATATGGATATAGCGCAATGGACCCATTCCTGGTCTGCTCGCTCCTCGGACTTAACGCCTTGCGATTTTTTTCCTTGGGGCTATTTGGACGAGTTGGTGTATCATGATGGAGCAGTGAATACTCTGGAAGAACTTCAACAGCGCACTGAAAATGCTTGTGATTTAATTCGCGGACACCAGGATTTTATTGTTGAACCGTGTAAAGAGTCGCGAAATCGCCTAGCAAGATTTTGTGTTAATCAAACAAATTGGGACAATTTTGATCAGTTTTTGTAAAAATGATATCCATTCAATTTGATAATGATTTTTTGTAAATAATTTTTAATAATGTTAGCTAACTCTCTTATTATTGTAAGAAAAGGTACTGTTAGCGTCATCTGTTGGGCGAGTCTTCTACTGAGCTTCATGGCCGATCTCTGCTTTTACGCGAACCACGACCGCACAAGCCGCTTGGCGGCGTCTGTGAGGACCGTGGCAGTGACTCACCTTCTAGATCGACGCGAAGTGATCTCCAATATTCTAGATGTCGCTTTGTGGTTCACCAGACCTTTCTCGAAACAGCAATGGGGACTATATATAACTCGGCGGCTGGGAGATGGAAGCAGAGTACTGAATACGGTAGAGTAGCAGACCGGAGTGGAGTATAGTGCAGTCAATCGCGACATAAGAATTAGTCAGACATAAATAGTGGTGCACATAAATGTTCTATCAAGTTAAATAAATTAGTGCCTTCCTTTTTGTGGAATCCAGTGTTTTAATCCACACCAAAAAGAACCCCGAAAAACGCTACATTATGCAACTTTTATGTAGGTAATTTTTGGTATATCAACTTCTTTCGACGAGTTCTATAAGCTGTTAAAATAAATGACTCAACTTTGAAAACACCATGTATAAAAGTAAATAATTTGCGATATCTACAATACGGAAAATGTTGAAGCAAAATGATTTTTAAATGCTGTTTTAAGCTAACAGTTCAACCTTTTTATTGTAAACCCCATAGCTACGATGACGTCACTTATGTTATCGGTCTTCGAAAAGAGCACTGGACCATGATTGATTACCATGGCTAAAGGCTTTCATAAACTGTTAATAGCCTGAGAGTCATGTATGCTAGGATGAAATATGCTGATGCTTGATTTCTATTGTTTCTATTGGAGTATCGCCAAAAGTTAACAGCCACTTAACGTACTGTCGCTTCGGAACGAGTAATGTTTATATTCCGTTATCTAGGTGCCGCGTCGCGTATGATTTCGTCAGACATTCGTGACTGTTTTTGTAGCTCTTCTGATGAGAAACTATGAAAAGTGTATGTTTCTACACATTGCAGACAAGATGTAGCCGAGGTATTGCTGATATATGATTGTGGTGGCCGGGCTATAGATGTCATATTATAGCCAAATATTGCTACAAAAATATTGCTCACTCAAATGCTCCACAACTGACCTGAACAGGAGTGACGCCATTGATGCTGATTAATTTTCAACTCCTATCTATTGATTTCAATTATCAATACTTTTTATTCTTCCTTACACTCAACCTAGAATCACGCTCCATATCGTGGAGCCTTAAAGGTATCTTTCTCGGCAACACATCCTTTGCTGGGTATAATTTTATTTATATTTTTTTACTATACGTAAAAAAATGTCGTTTGAATGTAACAAGATACGACTATCACGAAAAGTCATTGACTTCCGTCGATCTGGGATGACTGACAGCCTGTCTGCTAATGCTTGACTCCTCTACAACTTGAAAGGTACTACTCAAATTTTGAATAAATTTTCACAAATTGTTATTACTATACCTAGTATAAAAAAGCATAAAGTCTACCAACCCACCCTATCCAATCTAGGCCGCAAGAAAAAGATATTGAAGCAAACTTGATGGCATTTGAAAGGAGCAAGGCTTGGAAGTATAAAAAAATAAAATATAATTCGCCATGCTACATAAGCTGAAATACAGTCAAAAATCGCCTTTTGCAATTTTAGGTTAAGGTATCTCCAAAACTAGACCCAATTGTCACGGTTTCGGATTCCACGCATTAAAAACCTTCGGGACAGTGTACTTTAGTTAGTCTAATCATAGTAGACAAAATACCCCTGGTTTGCGAAATAATTGTAAAGTCTGCTTTTATTGGTGCAAGTTGTTCAAGGAGGTATTCAAAACATGTATTAATAAAATGGGTACACCAATTTTTGTGGAAAAACTTGTTATTCGATAACAAAGAATGAGAAAACGTGTTCTTTTTTTGGGATTCAATCGAAAGTGTGGGCCGGAACGAAAAAATTTTTCATATAAGATTTTTAGGTATTTATAAGACCTACAAAATGAGATCACACTTATAAAGATCCGGCTAATAGCAAAAAAGTTATGACCGAAAACTGAGCGAAACTGCAGGTTTCAGCACCTGTTGGTAATGTGATGATGGTTCATCGCAGATATTTGAAATTCTTCAAATTCGCAGGATTCATACTTCTAAATAACCACAACAAAATTAGAGTAGATTGGTTAAGTAGTTTTTGAGAATTTCTAATTGTCTATCCCAAAACACCTGTTTTCCGGCCATCACTACTAGTTTATTGAGCAATATACAGGGTTAGTTCAAAGGGCATTTTATAGCAAAATTGACTAGCTTACCTTTCCGTTATGAATCGCAAACCATTCCGAAAGATAAATGTTATTTTTATGCAAAAAAGGATGTGTTGCGTTTTTCTTCTGAACAAATTCAAACATTTCGTATTTGTGAGTAATTCGCAACGCGATATGATAGGCACATACGCTTTATTTTAAAATGTGTATAGTAACGTACGCTTTCTCATTCCTTGTTGTCAAATAAAAAGTTTTCCCACAAAAATTGGTGTACCCATTATATGCGTCCATGTTTTGAATACCCCCTTGAACAACTTGCACCAATACAACCAGATTTTACAATTATTCTGCGTAAAAATCTTGTCGGTCTATATTATTTTAGCCTGACTTAAATCATCCTCATCTAAAATGCACCTATACTATAATTATGTACATACCATCCTCGGGTGTGACGGCTTCGATGGCCAGCACAGGTCCCAGCTGCCTGACTCTTGGCCCTGGCATAATGAGGCTTGGCTCCAAGCCAGCATGATTGTACCATCTGTAATAACGATCACAATTAGCGTCGCCAGTATTTATGGGAATGTCCATTGAGTATCGTAATATAAAGGAAATTAACCGTTTGGAATAATGGTTCTTATCAATAAAAATATTGCTTGGAATATGGGGCAACAGTTAAATGTTATATGTCGCAAAATATTGGAATAAATGCTTCTTGGAGAAGTGAACCTTAAAATCAGATGGAACAAACAAATCATTATAAAGGCGATACAGGGTGACCCAGAATAAAAGATGACACTCTCTCGGTTGTATTTAGATTGTAGAGCACTCACATAGAGAATGATGAGAATAAACCTTCGTTTTACGAAGGTTTTTTACTAAATGGTAAGCGAAAATGAAGTAAATCAAACAATAACAAAAATGATGTACATGGTGACGGCCATCTTCACCTTGCCGGTAAGCTCGGGTCCATTGTCGTGAAGTCGGTGCTTTGAAAAAAGCCACCGTGGTGGACTAAACGTCAGTAAAAAGTGATTTATTCGTATTGATTTTGCCGTACAAAATTGTGGAGTTACCGAAAATAATGTCACAAGCTTCCATAAAAAAATTCTTGAGGGGCTACCCTACAGAAATACAGACCCCTAAAAGACGCTACCGAAATTCGTTTTTTTAAATTACATTTGAACGACGGTGTATGATTCAAAGAACTTTTGAGGACATAGAAAACAGTTTAGATCGCCAGAGATAAGCTAACCTCAATAGAATCTTCTGTTATACCTTGTATAATAATGGCGCAAAGATGATATTGTTGAAAAGCCCAATATTTAAGCTGACAAAATCTACTCTTGTCCGATCAGATGTTCGAAGTTGATGAAGTCAGTTGTTTTTGAAAAAAAATGATCTTGCTTCACAGTACATTCCTACCAGTGTTGGTACCAGGTCCAGCATCTTACAGTCACCATTTTAAAAGTAATTCAATTAATAAATTCGTAATGACCATTCCAAAAAGCCCAGCGATACAAATATTCAAAATTGATATGAACAGTATTGAATCAAAACCATTTTTTTATCGAAATCAAACATGAATATACACATATTTTTAAGTTAAGACTTCCAGTAGCGTTATCTAGGGACAAGTGTCTATGTAGGACAACTTTTATAAGAAGTAAATTATCGCCTATTTACGTTCGCGAACAGCGACGGCCTTACCCATTGCGAGGCTCTGGGCGGCAGGTGTTTGCGAGGCGCTTCGTCCTTCGTGAAAAGTATGTGATGCGAAAGCAGGTCTGATTGTTTGGTTTAGGTATTTGTCATGTTTGGCGAGAAATGCTAAAGTTATACAAATAAATTAAATATGAGTTTTAAAATATGTTACATTGAAAGATTCACAAATTTACAAACACAGAGGTGATAAATTTTCAAATTGAAGCTTGCGGCTTTACCTTATACTAAAATCTCTAATTGAAGCACAATAATCTAACAAATGAGCTACGTCATTTTCGATTGAAATAATGACAAGGGCTGATAGATCATCGAATTTGTCAAATATGTTTTAATAATTTTAAACCTCGAAAGACTCCTTTCAGCAGACGCAACTGTAACAGGTGTGGTGGCAATAATTCTTAGGGCTATTTCAATAGTGAGGTAAACTTCAGTTATTTTTTTTTGTATTTTGTATTTCGGCACCGAGATAACGTATTCGTTTCCTTCATACACACGGATGAACATATTCAGTTTTTCGTACAATTCATGTCCATCAATATCACATGATTCCCCTACTGTCATAGATATTTGCAAGTCCCCGCATTGCTTCAAAAGTTCACTATCACTAATTTACTTTAATCTCCCGCTTTTTATATTATACATGAAATCAAATACTAATCAAATTGCCTTTTTTACGTCGTCTTCTGACTTCTGAAGGCTTTGTAGTTAGGTCCATTCGATTTCATCGCGGTATTTTGTTCAGGATATAAGTATAATCTCTTATCATCTCTCGTTATTTGAAGATCGTGATCAGGTCATGGTTTTAAATCAACGATATCAAAAAGTAACGATATCAGATCACATATCCTAAAATAACGATTTCTGCTATATGTAACCGCCAATATATTAGCTTAGTAGAATCTAGTTAATATGGACATATGGACACTTGAATAAACGTTCCCTCATGTCTAGTTTTGATGCTATTGTAAATTTAATAACATCAGAAGATTCTGATGTATTCGCTGTCACAGAGACGTGGCTAAATGAAAATACTCGTATTACTGATCTGATACTGAGTTGGAATCTATGTTAAATCAAATTTACACGCTGAAAAGTAGACATACATACAAATTTTGGTGCGTATTTCGAAAATATTCGGGTTAAAGTGGTTGCGGGTAAATGTGCATTTTATTAGTAGGTGTTTTGTACCGACCGCCCACTCAAAGCATACAACAATGTGCAGATTTATTGAATGATTTCCTACCCAGCATTTCCTTATATCATCATAATATCCTGATATTGGGAGATCTGGATATAATTTTTTTGATAACAATATATTCTCATTGAGTTATGAGATGATGGGGTTCACACAAATCGTAACGGAAGCCACCCGTGTCACCATTAATCGAACCAATATTTTCAAATAATACTCAATCATGCAGATGTTCTTCCGTCGTGGACACGAATGGTATTTCGATCTTGTCTTTTTTAATTTTGATATTCCATCTTATAAAAGAAAACAGAAATTTATCACAATCAGGGATATCAAAAATTTCAGTGAAGGTTATGTTTTATCGATCTTTCTACATCGGATATAAACGAATTAGCTACGAAATCTAATATTGATGAGAAGGTGATGCACATTACAAGCGTTATCGTGTAAACCTATAATAAGCGTGCACCTTTTAAAGCTGTAAGGGTCAATAAGCCACCATCACATTGGTTAACTAATAAACTGCGCACTGTTCTTGCAAAAAAGAATACTGCACAAGCTTTATATACAGCTAATGAGACATTGGACGCCTATAATAACTTCAAATCGCTTAGAATCTGTGCTCTTAACATGATCAGGAGGGATAAAAAAACATATCTTGAAAATTTGGCAAATGAGAATGGTTCAAATAAATTGTGGAAATATCTCAAACAACTTGATATAAATTTCCGTAGTAAGCCAACCCTTCCAGCAAGTTTTAATGACCCTACCAAAATTAACGATTATTTTATGTCTGTTTATAGCTACAGAACTATCAGTTTATTACCAATTTTATCCAAAATTTTAGAAAAAACAATAAAGCTCCAATTGACCACTTACGTAGAAAAATTCTTTATACTTTCTAAAAATTAGATAAGGAAAATGGTACTAGCGTTAATCTCTATAGACTATTCGAAAGTATTTGACAGCACTAATCATAAATTATCATTTGCTAAATTAAATTACATGGGACTTGACAATGTTACCTTCACCAAAGAACTCAGTGTGTTTCTGTCAACTAAGAAATGCCTCCAGTGACAATAATTTCCTCAGACATGCCTCAGGGCTCTGTATTGCGGCCACTGTTGTTCATCATATATACTTTTGACTTAAGCAAGTATTGATAATTCTCATGTGCAGTCATTTGCAGACGATACGCAGTTGCTCCATTATTTTAACCCCAATAATGTCAATAACATAATAACCCAAATTTTACAAAGCGATGTTAGTAAATTAATTAAATACTCTTCAGATCGTAATCTACTTATCAATCCACAAAAATCTAATATGTTATTATTTTGCGCACAAAGAAAACAGACAATTACCACAGCTCTTGAACATTCAAATAAATAGCCAAATCTTGCAATCTTATTCTGCAAAAATTCTTGGTGTTGTTTTTGATACAAAATTAATGTTTACTGAACATGTTGAAAGTCCTTCCCAAAAACCCAACCTAAGGATACGTACTCTGATAGCAAACATGTATTTGCTAAATTTTAAGTTGCGTCAAAAACTATGTGAAGCATTGGTCATATTATCTGTACTAAATTATTGTAATATAGTATACTACACTTGTTTAGGCAATTTCACTACAAACGTCATTCAAGTTATTAAAAACAATTGAATACGTTTAAAACCTTTAAAAAATTAATGACTTGGTCAAGTTTCACTATTCAGTTTCTGTTCACAAGTTGCTGCTCACATCTAAACCCTCTTACTTGAGGGAAACTTTCCATTTAATAATGATGTTCACTGTATAACTCTCAGAGAAAGCAATATCTATACGTCTACACTGTTTAAACGCAGTTTTTCCTACTATTATTTATAATGACCTTCCTAAAGCATATAAAGAATTTTCGTTACCTGTCTTTTGACAAATAGGTTAAAATAATATTACTCAATATTCCTTCTTTAATCCAGGCTAAGGTGTACTTGGGTTTGGAAAGTATGCCTTTTTCTATATTTATGTTTTACTTTCGATGTAATGAACCAAATCTGCTTGTGGACAGTGTATAATTTTGAACATCTGCTAGCGACTATATGGTTAAGTGTACGAATAGCAGCATGCTAAACTTCGCCATGTATGTCTGATATTTGGCAATACTACAATGTAATTGCGGATAAATAAAGACGTCTAATATTATTATTATTATTAGTCAATTTATCAACACCAGATCAAATCAACGTTCAATACTTTGAGGTAAACTATTTGGACCTAGGTTAAGTTGATGGCACCTAATTGGAACAAAAATCAAATATTTGCTCGAGTATTGTCGAGTACAGTAGGCAACCCATTATCGATCCATTTTAATTACTGTGAAGCTAGCGCGAAAAGTCAATTAACATTATTTAGCAAAAACTCGTACAGGAAAGAATAAAGCAACGACAAAAACTGGACGTTTAATTACTTTCATTTCCCAGCGTTCTCTGTTCCACATCGGAAAATGAGGTATAAATATTGAAAAAAACTCTGCTGTTCTACGTAATTACTACTAACAAAGTTACTACGACTACGCCTAGCAACAACTTGTTCTGTGGTCGATGCATGTTGTTATATTTTTCACTTCTGCCGCATGTTAAGGATA